GACGAAACAAAGTATTTTTCGATGGTTAAAATTATTTTGTTTATGTTTGATGTTTTGTAAGGACTGGTTGATTAGTATTATTTGTGAATATTATTGTAAAAAGAATATCGATTGGATTGGCGTTTATTATTACGTAATGATCTTTTTGCAAGTACATATAAGCAGGGAGGCGAGTAAACTGTTTTTTACCAGTCACAGCGGAGTCTGTATCATCTCCTATAATTTATTTTTGTATTTGAGTAAGCTGTCAATGATAGTTATTGCAAAATAAATTAACTCCAAGTTTTCGCTCTGTTGTCAACTGCATGAATGCGCTCAATTTATTTATGCACTAAATGCACTACATACTACATAGATGAAGGATATTGTGCATTTGCCAGTTCAAGGTTAATCCGAAAATAAAACGACTAATAACCCTATATATCTATAAGGTACATAGCAACTAGATAATATTTTACTAGGTTTACACAAAAACAGTGTACCTACCAAGCTGGCTAGAGATAATTAGATACACCATTTATTTATTAGATTTTATCTAATAGAATACAGGTGTTATTAATACAAATTATGTTGTATTAAAACTATTTTTAGGAGCTTACGTAAATTACACCTTTCAACCAACTTTCTTTTTACGCAGCGCAATTTTAAAGGGAGAATTACGAATGTTCAAAAAAACTACCTTAAGTAATAATCCTTTTTTTTTATTATTATTAATTTTTTAATTGTTACGTAGAATGCATTCAAATTCTTGATGGTTTCAACTTCTAGTTGAGTAGGTCTAGGTAGATTATCGTTTTTAGTTTGTAGATCAAATTTTTTTTACTACATACCATGCTCAAAAGTTTTTGAAGATATTGAGAAATGATATCTAGCTAAATCAATTTTCCGATTCAACCGATATGATAAGAATCATAAAAGGAAGTAAATCGTTGTAGTCAATCCTCCTCTTAATTCAAATTTCAAAAAATCGACTGTTTTGTAGTGACAAAAAGATATAAAAACGGTAAGTAGTTTTTGCATGAATAAAGGATTTTTCCATGAGCGAAATGTTGAACTAATCCAACGATTGCAGAGCTTATAGTACAGTAAATAAGGATTAAGATCATTCAACTACAAAATGCTAAACAAGTATCACGTGAATAGTTAATGAATTTTCACCATTGTTTTTATCACAATTATTAAGCAAGTTCATTTTTTCTTTAATTAAAAACAGACAATTGCGTATAAGTTCAGATTCCTTTTTATTTTATTGAACTTATTGTTAAAATATAGTTTCCTATATATATATGTCGATATTTCGTCGAAGGATGAGTCAAAATCCTTTTAATTTAGTATAGGTGTGCGTGTCTCTATTTACAAAATTCATATACAAATACATGGTGTGAAGTTAAACAGTAGGATGTCTACTAACTACACATGTATGGCTTAATAATACACAAAGATATTGATTTAATAAAGATAAAGCGAGATGTTTGTATCGAAATTTTCGTTGTTAAGAACTTTTTTTAATAGGTATTTATTAATCAACATCGCCAAATTTAAGGATAGAAATATTGAGATTAATAATAGAATATATATGTTTTTAATGCGATTACTATAAAAAAGTTTGTTATGAGATGTTGGCCTTTCCCCAGTTTTCTAAATCAAATTCTGCATATATGTAGCAGTTCTTGATTCAAAAATAAACGAGTATATAACACGTACAAAATTAATATCAGAATTCTATTTTCTTGGCACATGGAAGTTAAAACGCCATATTTCTTTAAATTTATAAGAGCAGTGTCCGCACATATTTTGTTTGGACACAACACTGCGGGTGCACAAACATTAACAAAAATTATTTTTAAACTGTTTAAAGGATTTTTAGTAGATATTCACGATACAAGTGTGTGTATAAATACAATCTGTACGTTGATGAACTTGAAATTTCAGCATATTTTTACGGCGATTCATTCAATTTCGGTTGTAAAAGCAAAATCTACTCCTACTTTTTTACAGTATTAGACGAAATTTTTAAAACAATTGTCGCATGATTTCTTTATGAGTTAAAATCATTAAAAATGCACATAAGAAAATCCTTTTAATTAATTTTCACAGAAAGGTCACAAATAGTTATCAAAATAAGTTTTTAGCTAGTAATTTTTATAATTAAAAAATGAACCACTAACTCGGAATTTGTTAAGGTTTAAAAATTTTGGAGAATTTAAATTCAATAATTGGAATTCTGAATATATATGTACACATATATATATTTCATTTTAATTAATTCACTACTTAATAAAATTGCATATTTAAAAAAGCCAAATCTATTTGTATGTAAATCGTTGATTCGATTAATAAATGGAGAATGAATAAATCGTATAAGATTCAAAAATACAAAATCATTACGACAGCGCCCCCAATGGATTTTTATGACAACGATGTTGAGCTTTTTAACACTGTCCTGCCATCTGTAGTTACTTGGTAAAACATACTCGCTAAATCTTCTAATATTTTAGGAAACTGCTTAGCAGAACATGATTTAAAAATTAAATTAATTACGCAAACATTTTCATTAAATCTATTAAACTCATACAGGGAAATTGGTGCGTCTTTTAAAATTTGTCGGGTTAAATGCAAGTCCTTGAATCAATTAAATTTTCAACTTCTTTTATTACATAATTTGATTTATTCAGAGATAAATGAAGTCAATAGGATAATTTGAATGATACCCAAGTAATTGTATTTGCATCATGTAGGTCAAATAAAACTTTCAAAATATATGAAAACTCCTACCTTAAACCATTTCCTGAGGAAAGACGATTTGTTCTTGAATTATCGTCATCGGGCGTCAATGTGGTTGCTGACTGAGTATCCTCCAAATTGTTAGTTGAAGCTTCTCCAAACTTACTACCACAGGCAGATGATAGCTGAGAAACTTCGGATTTTATTGTCTTGTATTGTTCTTTTAAAGATACATCCTCTTCTTCGTCGATAACTGCTAATAGGGATGTGCCTCCAGATATTTGGGACAATTGATTAGGTAGAGTAGATTCATTATACGAAGTAAATGAATCTACTGGTTGTTGGAATGTATTTTGAGAATTAAATTCATTTGCGGCTGGTTCTGTAAAAATTCGTTCTTCTTTTTCATAAGTTTGTCGTAACTGAGGCTGAATTTCTTCATAAATTAACGGAGAAGCAGAAGCAGAAGTTGGTTGATTAATAGAAACAGTTGGACTTTGAATTGGAGAACTCTGATACAATGGATTTCTTTCTAATATATTTACTGGGCTGTAGATTGGCGAATTAGGGAGAGTACTTCCGAATTCTTGAGGTGACGATGCATTAACACTTTTTCGATATTCTTGAGGTACGGAACTAATTGAATAGTTAATGAATTTTCACCATTGTTTTTATCACAATTATTAAGCAAGTTCATTTTTTCTTTAATTAAAAACAGACAATTGCGTATAAGTTCAGATTCCTTTTTATTTTATTGAACTTATTGTTAAAATATAGTTTCCTATATATATATGTCGATATTTCGTCGAAGGATGAGTCAAAATCCTTTTAATTTAGTATAGGTGTGCGTGTCTCTATTTACAAAATTCATATACAAATACATGGTGTGAAGTTAAACAGTAGGATGTCTACTAACTACACATGTATGGCTTAATAATACACAAAGATATTGATTTAATAAAGATAAAGCGAGATGTTTGTATCGAAATTTTCGTTGTTAAGAACTTTTTTTAATAGGTATTTATTAATCAACATCGCCAAATTTAAGGATAGAAATATTGAGATTAATAATAGAATATATATGTTTTTAATGCGATTACTATAAAAAAGTTTGTTATGAGATGTTGGCCTTTCCCCAGTTTTCTAAATCAAATTCTGCATATATGTAGCAGTTCTTGATTCAAAAATAAACGAGTATATAACACGTACAAAATTAATATCAGAATTCTATTTTCTTGGCACATGGAAGTTAAAACGCCATATTTCTTTAAATTTATAAGAGCAGTGTCCGCACATATTTTGTTTGGACACAACACTGCGGGTGCACAAACATTAACAAAAATTATTTTTAAACTGTTTAAAGGATTTTTAGTAGATATTCACGATACAAGTGTGTGTATAAATACAATCTGTACGTTGATGAACTTGAAATTTCAGCATATTTTTACGGCGATTCATTCAATTTCGGTTGTAAAAGCAAAATCTACTCCTACTTTTTTACAGTATTAGACGAAATTTTTAAAACAATTGTCGCATGATTTCTTTATGAGTTAAAATCATTAAAAATGCACATAAGAAAATCCTTTTAATTAATTTTCACAGAAAGGTCACAAATAGTTATCAAAATAAGTTTTTAGCTAGTAATTTTTATAATTAAAAAATGAACCACTAACTCGGAATTTGTTAAGGTTTAAAAATTTTGGAGAATTTAAATTCAATAATTGGAATTCTGAATATATATGTACACATATATATATTTCATTTTAATTAATTCACTACTTAATAAAATTGCATATTTAAAAAAGCCAAATCTATTTGTATGTAAATCGTTGATTCGATTAATAAATGGAGAATGAATAAATCGTATAAGATTCAAAAATACAAAATCATTACGACAGCGCCCCCAATGGATTTTTATGACAACGATGTTGAGCTTTTTAACACTGTCCTGCCATCTGTAGTTACTTGGTAAAACATACTCGCTAAATCTTCTAATATTTTAGGAAACTGCTTAGCAGAACATGATTTAAAAATTAAATTAATTACGCAAACATTTTCATTAAATCTATTAAACTCATACAGGGAAATTGGTGCGTCTTTTAAAATTTGTCGGGTTAAATGCAAGTCCTTGAATCAATTAAATTTTCAACTTCTTTTATTACATAATTTGATTTATTCAGAGATAAATGAAGTCAATAGGATAATTTGAATGATACCCAAGTAATTGTATTTGCATCATGTAGGTCAAATAAAACTTTCAAAATATATGAAAACTCCTACCTTAAACCATTTCCTGAGGAAAGACGATTTGTTCTTGAATTATCGTCATCGGGCGTCAATGTGGTTGCTGACTGAGTATCCTCCAAATTGTTAGTTGAAGCTTCTCCAAACTTACTACCACAGGCAGATGATAGCTGAGAAACTTCGGATTTTATTGTCTTGTATTGTTCTTTTAAAGATACATCCTCTTCTTCGTCGATAACTGCTAATAGGGATGTGCCTCCAGATATTTGGGACAATTGATTAGGTAGAGTAGATTCATTATACGAAGTAAATGAATCTACTGGTTGTTGGAATGTATTTTGAGAATTAAATTCATTTGCGGCTGGTTCTGTAAAAATTCGTTCTTCTTTTTCATAAGTTTGTCGTAACTGAGGCTGAATTTCTTCATAAATTAACGGAGAAGCAGAAGCAGAAGTTGGTTGATTAATAGAAACAGTTGGACTTTGAATTGGAGAACTCTGATACAATGGATTTCTTTCTAATATATTTACTGGGCTGTAGATTGGCGAATTAGGGAAAGTACTTCCGAATTCTTGAGGTGACGATTCATTAACACTTTTTCGATATTCTTGAGGTACGGAACTAATTGGCGATTCCTTCTGCTGAATACTACCTCGAAGACTTAAATCATGTGGACGATATTGGTCTATAGTTTCATCTTTCATTACATAAGTTTGCTCAATCTGGTACGGTGCTTCAGTCAATATTGTCTTGTCGGTTGTTGGGCTTTGATTGTGTTGTATTTTGGGTGATTTCTGAGCTTTATTATAATAAAGCTCATTAATTTCCACATTTGGCTGATTAATGGTATAATATATTTCTGGCTGTGAATGAAATGGCGCTTCATAATTACGGCTAAATTGATTTTGATCATTAGATACGTGGTGTTCACTTTTGGCAGTGTAATTTTGAGCAGCATAAGTTTGACTTTGCACCATTGGAATGTTACACTTTTGGTGTGTGGGAATATTTTGAATAACAGGAGCAGATGAAACCGAATAAACACTGGAGTTGTTAATTTGATTTAACGTATTTTGTCGTGTGTGTTGAACTTTTTCAATTGGTTGGTAATTCTGTTGAAAACCAGTTGAAGGAATTCTTGTTAGAGTTAGCGATGGGGAATATATTTGGGAAGATTCTTGTGGTTGATTAGAGTTTTGTATTTGATAGAGTTGATGAATACATGGAAGAGTAGATGAACTATGCATTGAAGAAGGAATGCTTGTTTGAAGAACATGTGTTTCAGAAGTACTTTGAGTATAGTTACTGGCATCTTTGCTATAGGAAGAAGTGGACGCATTTGTATAGGTAACATGAGTACTAGACTTATGAAACGTAACGGAAGCACCTGTTGAAGATGAACTGTTAGCAGTAACTGGTTGCCCTACTGTATTTGTACTAATTGGACTATTTGAAACTGTAACAAAAAAGCTAACTCCTGAATCTAAGGTGTATGTAGATGCTGGAATATTTGATGCTACTGATAATGAGGGCATACCTGTTGGTAAAGAATAGGCACTTCGAAGATTATGCTGCTGTGGTCTAGAAAATTGCAAGTTTGATATTCCAAAGTTTGGAAAATAGTTTTGAACTGGTCGATTATTATCACATGATGGTATATCAAATGAAACACTCTCTGCATCACTTTTTAATACACTTTGTTCTTTATATATTTGCCCATGATTTACTGCAGTAACGTATGAAATAGGGACATTAAATAAATTATAATTTGGTAATGTAACTGGAGGACTTTGAAACAAATTCTTTTGACCTCCTGTTGTTTGATTAAATGAAACACTTTGTTCTTTAACTTCAGTATTAAAGTTATCAATTTTTTGGAGTAATTCTCCATGGTTTTGATTAAGTCCAGCCTGTCCTTTGTATTGAATGTAATTTTGAGAAGTTTGACTTTGGCAAACTTTTGTAATTAAACTTTCAGCAACTTTGGTGGACACCCTGTAATTTTGTGAAGCAGAAACTATTGTTGAAGCAGTTGTAATGATTTCCGGTTGTACTAGATTGCTTTCTGATTTATTGCAATAATAAATTGTAGGAAGTGTTTGTCCATGAACCGGTAAATGCCCCTCGATATATCCATATGTTAATATTCTATTCTGCTGGGTTTCAGTCAAAATACTTGAAGGAACCACATTTGTCGGTATTGAAGAAATAGTTGTAGCAATTGCTGAAGAATAAAGAGTTTCATTTCCTTTTTGGTCAGTTTTGAAATTAGAATTAAATGTTGCTTCTGTAGCATGTTGTCCAGTAGTAACAGTTGCATTATTGTTATTAGCATTTGAATAATAAGCAATTGGATCTGTGATGATCAAACTCATGTGCTGAGTTTTAATAATGTGAGGGTTAATTGCAATTGACTGATCTAAGTAGTCCAAGCAATTCCACCTACCTCTTTTAAAAGGTTCTGCTGTTTCAATTTTTACAACTTTAAATCTTCCTCCAACAATTCGAACACATTGTCCAGCATAAGTCGTTGTTGTGGTCATTTTAGATAATACTGAAGCTAAGTCAAACTCAGAAGAATTATCTGTAATATCTGTACATATAACAGAAAGCTCTTGAACATCACCAACTTCAACCGCTGTTATTTCAAAATTTTCAGCTGCTACTATTGCCAATTCATAGCAAGGGCTTATAGGCAAGACATTTGTTGTCTCTAAAGAAACTACTGGAGATATGATTGGCACCTCTTCAATATCTCGAGAAAAAGATTCCTCAGAAAAACTAGGAGTTTCGTTGTCTGTAATTCGAGAAATATCATCTGTATGAGATTCATCTAAGTCGTCTGCCGAATCGTCTCCAAATTCTGGACGTTGGGTAACACTAATGCCGGTCACTTGAAATGAACTTACCGGCTTTTTCCTTAATGGGAGTACATTACACGGTTTTGCTGTTGAATTGTTAATAAACAGATCAGGTTCTCCCAACCTAATTGTTTCACTAGTCGTACGGTGTATCACATTCACTTTCCTAGTCTTTAATGCACTACGTGCTTCTAAAATTTCATCGCACACAGACATTGTTAAACAAACGAAGTTCGTAAATTGTTAATTGTTAAGTGGTCGTGGACTACTTAGATCAGATAAATTCTTCTAATTATACATTAAGCAGGGTTTACATTATAACATTTAAAAAGTTTGTGTTTTCTTTTAATACTTTGCGAAGTTCACTGTCATGACATTTCGAAATTGTGATAAAAATTAAAAAAAAGTGTTTACAAACATCATCGACATTTTTTAACAACAAAATCATAGAGTGTCAAATAATGTTCTAATTTTATGATTAAGTCAAAATGGATCATAGACTTATCCATAGATACCGTTATGCCGTTATTCTAAGTACTAATTAATCCGTTGCGAATAGTATTTTTTTTAATAATAAACACTTTTTTAATAAAAAAGAGACAAATATGTTTCAAATTAAATATAACAGTATATATGTACAAGTATTTCAACAAATTAGTAAATTCAAATATGAGTTACACAGTAGGCAACCCAAAGTACTTTCAAGAATTGTGGGCAAGCCAAAAATTACAAAAATTAGATAATAAATATTAAAGTTTATTTGGAATTTAAAATACGTTAATCAGGGAATCAAAAATTTTATTATGTAGTTTTTTGGGTTCCAGATTGTAACCGTAATCCTATTTTATTGCTAAACACATCGAAGGTGCCAAAATATTTGCTAAGAAATATCGATAACATTATTAAAGGAAGAGTCGGTTTTCCGCAAATGATTTCAATCAAACCAGATTAATTATTAATTAAACTAATTAATATGCCGCCATTTATCCTCTTTCTTATATCATAGCCTAGCAAGGTATTGAACATATAAAGCAAATTAAAAAAATCGATAACGTAATTGTAGGGAGAGTCGGATTTTGACTAATAATTTTAACGAGATCATTAATTAAACTTATTAATTAAACCAATTGTTTCATCATTCATTCAATTTCCTATTTAATATAGTTTAGCGAATTATTAAGCATAAGCTCTCAAATTGAATTTTAATTGTCTTATCTATATAGAAAAGTCAAAGTTTGGGTTTATTACTAATTAGACTAATTTTATGAATTCATAAAAGAATTAAATTTTCTTGATTAATTGTAAGTTAATTTTTAAGAAAGTTACACAATACAACTTGTATTCGTGTCTACGAAACTTTATTATCAAAAATAATCCCTGAAATGGAAATGGTTCAAATAAAGATGTGATTTATGACTGCTATAAAGCCTTTATGCTCATCTTCTCGCAAATATTAGAACACCAAAAATTGTAAAATTAATTTATTGATAGGATGTAGTTACTGTTAAGTAGTTTTTGTTGTTGTATTTTAGACTAGAATCGAATAAATGAATTAGTACCCCTTCTAATAATAAAAATATTTGTTTCCTTTCGTAAATAAGTTATTTCTATATTTAGATTCTCCGTTGTAGTTAACGAAACGTTGTTAATCAAATAACGTATGTTTAATTGTAACAAATAACTGACAAGTTTGTAGAAGAAATGCAAACAAGAAATAAAGACTTGACTGTTTATCAGTCTAATGCTTTGTCTTAAATTAAAAAAATTAATAAAATTAGTGTTTAGTCGTTAGTAGCACTCTGAAGTGGTAAAACAGAAAGTTAAAAGGCAGAGTAAATGGGGGAAAATGGAACTAAAGTATCGGAGCAGACTGAAACGGAACCTCCTCTAAATAAAAGTTTCTTTAGTGTAAATAAAAATCTTATTACTCTCAAAATCACCCTTTTCTTTCTTTATGGAGGTATTTATTTAACTGCATAAAAGTCATTTGTTGGTAATATTTATAACTTCCTTTTTTGCAGCAACATCGTCCTTACTTCCATACCTGACTGTTCATATGCAAAGTATAGGGCTGACCATTGAGGAAATTGCTTTGGTTTATTTGGCTCTACCATTCACCACCTTTCTAGCACCCCCTGTTACTGGATTTCTTGTTGATAAATTTGGAAGATACAAACCTGTTATTCTTATATCGTTCGTTCTGAATGCGGTCATCCATCATTCGCTTCTCTTTTTACCACACCAGGAAGTACCAGGTGAAGTCCCTTCTGCATATGTCTTAAGACATCCTGAGCTTCAAGTAGTAGAAGTATGGTGGAGTCCTTGTCCTAGCCGTGAATGTCCTGTGAATGAGGAACTCGACGTCGTTCTCGATATGTGCGTCGACCATTGCGTTTTTAATAAAACAGTTAACCGAAAAACGCAAGAAGAAACTTCTCCAAATCAGATAGACGTTGGAGATAAAGACGATCTTATTTTCCATATTGGAAAGAAGAATAGATCCACTCTTGCCTTACAAGGACATAACAAGTACAGCATAAAGCTTTTATTTTTTTCCGGTTCATAAATTTAACTCAGTTAGTCAATGTTTCCTGCTTTGTGCGATAATGCACTTTTATGGTACATAATATGTATCCAAAACGCCGTTATTTTTAATTATTTTACGTAATTACTCAAAATTACGTAGACGTACATCGCTTTCGTAGTAATTTTTTGTTTTCATTTAACCGGTAGCAGTTTACGCATATCAGAAAGTCAACAATTTTTAATCTTGCTTTGATTATTTAAATATTTATTTATACATTTACCTAATCCATACGTTTTACAACGAGATACCTTTATGAATACTTTAATTTTTCTTAAAATATTTCAAGGACATGTATAAATAAAAGGTCTAGCATAGGTTTTGAGAGCCATTTTTTTTTTTTTAATTTTCTTCCTTAAATAATTAGCGGATAAAATTTTTCAATTTTACAGGAAAAAGAAGAAAAACGGAAGAAAAACGAAAAAGATTTTTGAAAATGAAACTGCTGTTATGTTCAGCTTAGAAATGCACCCCGCTTTAGCAGATCCAACGGAAAATTTTGGCATCGAATTAGAACTCGATGAAGAAGATGAAAGTATAACATTCAAAAGTCGTTTTAACGAAGAGTTTTTGATAAACCGAGGAGTAAACTATACGGAGTTGGAAGATAAAGATTTAAGATGCGGCGGTATCGTAATGAAGACGAATGCGACTTACGAAAAGCGCCTCATGGAATATTCAGGAGATTGCATAGTCCAGAAATGCAATTTCCGATTTGGTGGACCTCATGTATGCCCTCCCGACTATAGAGAAGCGAACGATAAGATATTCTGGATATATTTCTTTTTAAGATTTCTAGCTTCTATTATGTTATCAGCTGGTATCACGATTATGGACCCGGTAGCTCTAACAATGATAGAAAAATACGGTGGCGATTTTGGTAGAGAAAAATTATTTTCTAGTTTAGGGATGGCTCTGTTTTCTCCCATTACTGGTGCCCTGATAGATTACAATAGCAGAAGACTTGGCTACACCGATTACTCTGCGGCTTTTTACACCTATGACGTTCTTCTCTTCATTGCCGGAATTACAGTTTTAATAATGCCTTTGGGTACCAAATTACCTGCCGATAATCTTTTCCGAGATTTGTTCAATATCTTCAAAATGCCTCACATAATCATATTCATCATTTTCTTGTACATCCTCGGCAACTTCTGGGGCTTTATCGAAAGTTTCTTATTCTTTTATTTAAAAGACTTGGGCGCTCCGAATTACCTATTAGGTATAACGGTCACAGTGGGAACGGTTAGCAGCATGCCATTTTTATACGGTGCCGAAAGAATTACCAGTAAAATCGGCCACGTTAATGTCATCATCATCGCTTTCTTTGCTCACGCTGCACGTTTAATGGGGTATTCCTTCATAGAGTAAGTACTTAATGTTTTATAAGTTATTTCTTATAAATAAGTGACCATTTTCAGATCTGCTTGGTGGTGTTTCCCGTTCGAAGCGTTAGAATCCGTTTCAGTCCATCTTATGTGGGTAGCAGCTGCTACATATTGTGCAATTATAACTCCGAAAAATTTGTTGGCAACTCTAATAGGTGTTGTAGGGATGGCACATTACAGTATAGGTACAGCCAAAAATTATTTTATTTTCCAGTACAAAAAAATTACTGCTGTACCTATTAATTTATTACACAAAAACCCGTATTGTTTCAATTTCAGGCAGGGGTAGTGGTAGTTTTGTGGGTGGTCAAATAATAAGTAAAATAGGCATTCGTCAGGCGTTCCGTTTAATGGGCGCTATAGCAGTAGGTACCGGTATATCGTATGGCCTTATACATTGCCTTTGGTTAAAGAAAGTTGTAAAGAAATTTGATGGGGAAGTGGAGGAAGATATCGGTAAAGCTTTTGCATTATTTAATCATATTTCGAAATTTGTACGTGAAGAATACTATTTTGCATTCAGAGGGTGCTGAAACAGAAAAGTTAAAACCAGGCGAAGAGCCGAAATTCAAAGACCAATCCACCATGGTCAGTATGGAACGTTTGAGTTTAATGGTAGAATTCAATCAAATTGGCTCTTTGACCTCTCTTGGGCGACATGCTGTAAATTCGTTAAGTAGGGGTGACATTCGACGGGGAAGTTACACTGTCGGAATGTTTAACAAAGCAAGTAGAGGGAGTGCTTCCAAAGTGGATCTACTTAAGTCTGCCATTGAAGTTAATAGTAGAGGAACATCAAATCAGAACTTAAAACGTTCCGTGTCTGGGATAAGTAAGCACGGCAGTACTAAAGTATGCACTTTTTTAACATGCGATATAAGATATTATTTTAAATTTAATTTATGAATTTAGATTGCTGATAATGCTGGTACCCCCACGTTAAATAAAAAAAGTGTGAGTTTATCACCTGTGGTTGATAAAGTTATTGAACAAAATTTGATACCTGACGAAACAGAAGAAATCATTTACGCAACGAGTAAATCGAAGAACAATGACGAGGATCCCGAAAAGGTACCGGAAATTTCGGAAGAAAATAAGAAAAATGGAACAGGCTAAACAAACACATTATATTTTTTTTTTACATAGAAAATGTACGTAAGAAGTATACTTTCATTTATGCGTATGTATACATATTGCGTCTATAACAAATAATAAAATTTTAGATATCTGTTTAAAAACCTACTTTTAATTACTAATTATAACCCAAAAATCAAATATAATTTGTTAGAACGACTACGCGAATAAAAATTATGCCAGTGATGACGATTTTATTATATAACTAGTGTGACCTATAAAAAGATTTTTTCAACTCGTAACGCAAATGTTTAGACGTAATGCTTATCGTTTATACAAAACTAAAAACGACAGGTTTATTTTATTCAGTTTAGAATGAATTTCCTTTGAAAGTTCGTGGTATACGAGGTAAATTGAAAAAATGTAACATGGGCACAGATAATTAAAAGTTTAGCTAGTTTCACTTCAATAAGGCGCCGAAATTTTCAAAAATGTTAATGTTACATGGTAAAAGTATAACAAACCAATCAGAATACAGAAAAGTAGTTATGTCATAGACAACCAGCTGGACTTAGTGGTCGGTATAATTATATTGTACAGGTAACATATGCTATGCTTTTCGTGTGCTGGGATGCTGGGTAAGTGAGGTTATTTTAGTGTATCTCTAAATGGAAAAATTATGGCAACAAAAGGACTTTATTACAATGCATCCCATGATGGAATGGATCATGCATATAGGCAACGAATTGCTGAACAGTATCAAATAAGGTAATGTAGCTAAAAAGTTACAGCTGTGCTGATTTAATTTTTAGTTTAAAAAATTGTTTTGATTGAGTTTTTGATTTCAGTGCATTAAACAAATCTAGGCTCAAATACTGCATATTTTTTCATTATTTACTCTTCTTTGCAATGTTAGCGAAATTGTCTGCCGATATACTAGACAAATTAGATATATTTATTTTAGAAATTGAAGAGTTAAGTATACCACAGGTGAGAGTATCCCGATAAGAATTATGTGAAGAATACTTTATATAGTATTGATTTTAGCCTTNGCCAAAAATATTTGATTGTTACGATTAAAGCATTAAATTCGCGGAATAAAGCAATAATACCCCCACCGCCAACACGTAAACATCTAGACTGATCAAAATACGCAAAAACGTTTGACATACTGGAATGGAGGGAATAATTATACGTTCAAATCTTCAATTTATACTAGACAAATTAGATATATTTATTTTAGAAATTGAAGAGTTAAGTATACCACAGGTGAGAGTATCCCGATAAGAATTATGTGAAGAATACTTTATATAGTATTGATTTTAGCCTTTATGGTGGGAATATATTTGGTGCATTAGTTTATTACTTTCATTTTTGGGACTTGCAGCTATTAGGAGGAATGGTGTTAAGCAAATGAAGCAATACATTGCAGGGCTATGTATATTTGGATATTTACCTCTACTTTATGCTCTTGTTTATTATTGTAAAAATGTTTGGATATACTTAACATCAGATGATGATGATGAGCTGGACAATATCCAATGGTGGCAGGTTAATAAATTATATTTAATTATATACATACATGCTACGTGTTTATTAATATTTTATTTATTGTGTACTTAATGGTTTTTCAAATGTACCTACTCCTTAGTATGAAGTTAAACCATGGTTTCTGTACAGTTTATAATTGATTAATTTTATTTTCAGGGCTATCCATATGGGTTGCTCTGGTATGCATTTATATTACTAGCTGTTCAGGTTCATTCATTTTCACTATATTTTGCCTGGAGCTTGATAAAAGCATGGAGAGCTCGAGGTGTGAAAAAAATCGATTAATTGTCGATCGATTGGGATGCCTTATTATTGCTCAAACATTTTCATCTGTCTGTTGATTGAATTTAATTTTTTTCCCATTAATATGTTATAAGTGTTTTTATTTATCACCTTGTTCCATATACATAACTATTCTGTTCAAATATTGTTATCCTTGTGTTGGTTGATAGTTTTTAATGAAACTACATATTTTTGTGACTTCTTGTATTCAAATAAACAAGGCTATTTAGTTTTTGTACTTAAAGTAGTACAAGAAATTTAAATGCTTTTCCTTTTCTAATAAATGATGAAAAAACATTTCAATGTATTGTTTAAATTCGGTGCTTTGAGAATGATGGTGGTGGTACAGTTTAGGTATTTAAAAAATATTGCCTGACACATATATTTTATTTAACTTTTATCATATAATTTAAATTCTGTAACACGCAAGCAACAGTAGTATTCTTAACATTACAAAGAAACATTTATAAAATACATAAATACGAAGCACAGTATGAGATTCACAACATTTATTAAGTGAGCTTAACTGTAACGTTTCCATTGCAACTTCTGAGAAGAAGCGACAGTGTGGCGAAACAACATAAACTTATTTAATAAAAATTGTGCAAATCATAATGCGCTTTTTATTTATGTATAATGTGGAATAACATCGATTATTTTTATAAGATGTTAAAAATAAACAACTGCATACATGAATGACTAAAACGAGTATGTATAGCTTATTTTAATACAAATATTTTAGGTACTTAGGTGAAGTAAATACGCTTTAGACGCATATTTTTGATATGTTTCATCTTGGGATACAGAATGTTATCTTTTACATTGCTTAAAATTGGGAAAAACAACTAGAATTATATTTAAAACACAGTAACACTATTTTCAAGGGACAAAAACCAACAGTGGAAACTGTTGTTCTATGTAAAATAAATGAACATTAATGAATAGTATTTTGTATTTTTTGTTCTATTATACTGTGTATAAACAATATTTCAATTGAAAGTGTTTCTTATTTTCCAATTTTAAAGAATATAAATAGACAAAACTAGCAACCCATAATTTTCACAACAGACATAATCTTTATTTTAGGAGAAAGTTTTGAACGACAGTTTGGATATCTTATAACATCAATCACAGGATGAACAGGAATGTTTTTAATATAGTTAAATACAACAAGCACGTTTACGTTTTTGATCCGATATATCGTTACTATGTGTATTAAAAAAAAAGAGGGAAATAAACGAGAATTATTACTTAAACGTTAAGAGGTTGAGAATTATCAAGTTTCAGATATTATCAAGGTAAATGTAGTTGAATAATAGCCATTAACAATAAATTCCATTTATAACACCGATTTGAAAGTTAGGCAACATTTATATCACGTAAGTAGGTACATTGCATAAGTAGACGGACTAAAACATTAAATAACACTGTTGTGTTCCTATAGTTATTTCTGCCATGAATCACAAACAATAAATACTACGGTAAAAATTAATTCTTTTTCGCAAGTCGAAAAAGTTATTAAAAATTAATTAAATTATTAGTCATTCGATTTTATGACTTCCAATCTAAAAACATACGACGTTTATATTACGTGTAACAGCTGCAATAACGACTATTAAAAAAATTGGAAAGACAAGTACTATTGTTTAATTATTTTAGAAACTGCTACGCTTTGTTGTATTAATTTTTAGTATTTTAAGAAACATTTAACATTGTTGGAGTATGTATTATACGTCGACAAATTGTAATAACACCAAACAGTAACAATTGACTTCCATTTAGAGACACGGATATTCGAAAAGATGTTTCAAAATTTTTTATGAATGTGCTGATTTAACTAAAGAGATACTAAAATTATAGGGAAAAAAAAAGAAAGTGTGTACCTAACAGGTACGACAATTGTGTAAAATTAAGTATTGAACGCTTAATAATACACGTTCGCCTTTTTTACTGCTTTTCAAAAGCTTGTTATATTGCAACATTCCAATATGTTATTAATAAAAACGGAGATCTTGGGGGAAATATTTTCAATAAAGCCAATTTCGACTTTAAGACAATATCTAATTATCTACATTCAAATCCCCACGGAACTGTTATTACTCCACTGTTTTACAAATTTATAAATGTTGGTTGTTACCCATATCTTAATTTTCAAATAACCTTTTCCATATTATAACGGTTAATATTACAACGCAAGCACGTACCGCAATATTTAAAGCGAGAATTAGTTACATAATTTCCACAAATTAAACTTGGAGTGTAAAAAATTGCTTACCATGAACAATAAGTTTTCCTTGATATCACAAACATTCCCAATGTGATTTGATGTTTTTAGGTTAGAATTCAACGTTCACCGTATGAAAAGCGTATCTACATTCATTGTTTAATTAAAATTGACCCGTACACACATAACTATCACTTTCATTATTATCACGATTACAGCTTTATTCACAAATAAAAACAATCGAAAACAAAACAATACGTTTTAGGTACGTTATTCTCCGATCGGCACTTTGAGGAACCCATTTTGATAGTAAATTAAATAATAGCTAACTGACCACGAACATCAACTGCAAGACTTGAAGATCTTGAACGTAAAAAATGGTATTTCTTTTGTTTTATTTTTTTATTAGCTTTTAAAAATCTCTCTAACACATGAACAAACCGAGAACAACGCGACCACGACCACGCCAACCGCACTACTGACCGGAAAGCGGAAACCGCAATCTCTTTTGACACATTGTAAATTATTTGATTTGACTGATTTTGAATCTTGCCGATTGTTATATTTTCTAAACCATACGTTTTCCAAAACGTTTACTGTTATAAATTACTGAATTTAATCAATAACGAAGCCAAAAATATTTGATTGTTACGATTAAAGCATTAAATTCGCGGAATAAAGCAATAATACCCCCACCGCCAACACGTAAACATCTAGACTGATCAAAATACGCAAAAACGTTTGACATACTGGAATGGAGGGAATAATTATACGTTCAAATCTTCAATTTGAATAAGTTTTTATTAATAATTATTTACCGGTAATCATATTTCTTTCGTATCATTCGTTTTCAAAAACGTCTGCTATGATTCCTTTCATAAGTTAAAAATTAGAAGAACCTTAAATTAAATTAATGATGACAAAAATAAAAAACATATATAAAAACAAAAACGAAAAGAATATTGAATTGTTTATGGAGATGTGATTTGAGTATTTTGTACAAAGAAAAGCGTATTTTGCTTTATTAGGTCAATGCAGACCTTTTACGTTAATATGTAAGAACACTGATAACCACATTTAGAACTATATTGATGTTGAATTAAAATTAGCTTGGCTAATATGCGAAAATTAATGAAATCGCGTAGCAACCGGTTATTTTCAGAAAAATCGCGAAAAAAAAATTGTTTGGTGATATTATTCAATTATAAGGTGATTTTAATTGGAAGCTGAGGGATCGATGAGTAGGGTAAGGTTTAACTGATTGATACATGAATTCGCTAAAATTAGCATATTTGTAAATTTGGGGGAGCATAACTGGGGCAAGAAGAACCCATTGGAATCTTCGTCTATCCCAGAACGTCCAAACCCCTTAAAAAAGGAAAAATATAAACTAACTACCTTAATCTTCTAGAAATCGATGCTGCTATAGTAACCTGTGGTACGAAAGGGAGTGAAGGAGGGGTGGTGGACGGGAATCCCCGAAGGGAGAGGTTCGAAATAATCCCGTATCCAAAATCTTATGGTGATCTCAAAAATTATTTTTTTTCGTTTGATTTCTGCACCTCTCCTGCCGGGGAACCTTTTCTTACCCTACCTTCTTTCGCGTACCTCCTCCCCAGAATGCCGCAGGTTACATAAGCAAAACCACAAAAAAGTACTTACTCAGAAAGTGCAGGTAAGTATTCCTTCGAAAGAAGTTTAAGTACAATAGTTGTCGATTTCTTCTTTCAATGTATCTGTTGATTTTTAGGTACAATATTTATTGTAAGACTGTCTTAGTAGGTGTTTTATGTTTGTCTATTTAATGTTTTCCGGTTCAGTATCAATTCAATTTTTTTTTTCGTTCCCATTTTAGTATCATTCTGAATGTCTGTCATTGTGTATGCATATAGTATGTGTCTATTTTTCGGTGGCTGCAGTAGTTGCGGTGTAAGTTTGATTTAAATTTGATATTATCCAAACTTTCGAAAAATAAATAAATAAATAAATAACTAAGTAATCTTACCTTGTTCAACGAGTTGTCTCCCAACGGTTTCCACATTAAGTAAATTTTCTTTGACGTTCTCACCATCTTCACATGCAACGAAAGAGACAAAATAAACGAAAAGAAATAAAACAGGAACTACGTGAAGTCGAAGACCCATTCTTCCAGGTCCTTTACACACCTGTACCGTCAATACAAAGACTAAACCACGAGGCTGTTTAACCAATTTATTAGCTAAATGTAACACATGAATGTCAAGGACCAATTGTCTTCCTGTCTAGAAAATATTGTCGCTGAAGAAAACNAAATAAATAAATAAATAAATAATTAAATAAATAAATAAAACAAGTGAAAAAGAAAGAGAGGCAGATATAAAGAGAGGGGTGGAGAGTGAGAGAGAGTGAGATAAAAAGAAATTAAACAAAGAAAGTATTGTCAAATGGAAATAAAAGTTTGTTGTAAAGAGTACGAATCAGTAAAATAAAATTTAAGAAGTTATAGAAAATGAAGATTTAGACGGATGTTTCTGAATATCTGCGTCTAGTTCTTCGGCGCTTTTTTTGCTATAAGAGGGCAGCACTCTCCGAATGGTGTTCGGAAGAGGATGCCATTTTTTGGGGTGTTTCAATATCCAAGCGTTTCATTTTGATCGATTCGGTGCCCTCTTTATCTAAAAAAGTAAATACATCTCTGCATATTCTTTTTTCCACCTTTGTCGGTAACGGTGATAAGATCTTTCATTGATTAGTGAACATTAGTACACATGAATTCTATCAGAACTCGATCTCATTATCGAAAGTGAAGACATGTGCGACTCAACAATTAAGACTTACAATTAAAGTAGTCGACTAATCAGAGCGCGCAACTCAAAGCACGTGTGCTTTAAAAATGAATAGATAAACAAGTTCACCAATCAGCGCGCGCTCTTATTGTTGAAAGTGAAGGCACGTGCGATTCAACAATTAAGACTTAAAGCAGTCGACCAATCAGAGCGCGCAACTCAAAGCACGTGTATTTTAACAATGAATAGATAAAAGAATGCACCAATCAGAGTGCGCTCTTATTGTTGACAATCTTAAAGCACGTGTTTTTTAACAAACTTGAGCTACGCCTACATCTGCTTGCTTGCAGCAAACAGAGCGCACTTCGATAAGCAAATTATTTTAATGTTTGATTTTATTGATAGGTCCTGAATTACGAATCGGATCGAAAAAATTAGAGGGAAAGGTGTTTATAGCGTTACTTCCTTTTCCCATGAAAAGTTTAACAGCGTCAAGTGTTTCCGGGTTCAATGTCAAGCTCATCTCGATTAACAAAGGCCTTTTTGGTTGGTTATCTTACCTTTGTTAGCAGCTGATGATGGAGTGTGACTAGAGCCTGGAGTTGAATGACTCCTTTTGTAAGTTGCAGTATTCATTGTTAATTTTCTCACATTCTTGTCGGGGTGGAAGAGAATAATGTAAAGTTTTGGAGAATAGAGGCAAACCAAAGCCACTGTTGCATTCATGCTAATCGCTATGCAGAGGGTTGTTATCTGGATCTAAAACCATTTTTTTTACGTTGGTATACTTGGATGAAACGGTGTTTCAGCAAGACGACAAATGATGCACTGTAACCTATTTCAAGACTTACTACGACGATTGGTCATTCTTATTTTTATTTTCTTCCTGTTCGATACGTGATTACCGAGAGGTTAACAATTACAAAATTAGCCAATTAGAGGATGTACCAGCTACTGCAACGTTAGGTATGTTTACTTCTGCGTGCAGTAAGGAAGGTGCGCCCTAATTGGTTCAACTTCAGTTGGTACTCGTTCTCGATAATTGCACAACGGATTGAAAAATTGAGAAGGAAAATAATAATTCTTAGAATTTCGCGAGGAATTGTGAAATGCCTAATTACACTAGAAAGCTGCGACATATGTATCAAATGAGCTTTGAAGGTGGCTATTTCTAAAAAAAGGAAATTCGTAGGAGAAGCAAGTGCGTCCGATCTCCCAATCGATTCCCATTTTTTTACCACTTCATTTGTATTCATGACAGGATGCTTTTGCTAAATTTTATAAAATCGACTGCCTTTGCTTCAGTTATCACAACTGAACCATGTCAAAATGAAACCTGGTCTGTATTGATTATAGGGTTCTGACGAAATTTTTCATTTCGCTATCAAATTGGATTAGAATGCGAATAGACGAAGGCAAAATATCAAAAACGATTTTCAGATATCTTTGATGGCATCGGCGTGCCCTTAAAATAACTCACGTGTCGTATTACAAGAATAAAATATAATAGTAATAAAAATAATAAATGTTACGTTATTTACGAATATACTTTAAAAAATTTCGCAAATTATGGTATACACAGACATACATACACATACAAACACACACACACACACACAGAAGGTTAATTTTCAAAATAAACAATCTTATAACATTAATAACCACAATAAGCGTAAAAGGACCTTAATTGGTTCTATAAAGGCCTGAGGTAGAGGGGTTTAAGTCGGTAGGTCCGAGAACATCTTCCTCGAGAACCCGACACAACCCAGTCGTACGGACGGCTGGGTGTATTTCGAAGTTTTCCCCCTTCCACGAAAAAGAAAAAGCTCAAGATACATTCACCCTAACTTTTTTATAATATGCGTGTCTACCTTTAAAAAATTTACGCATCCATGCAAAAAATTAAAAACAGTTGCAAAAATGAAAGCCACTTGAGTTTATATTTATATGAATGTGGTTGATTTTCTTTTCCGGCTCGGCTTTGTAAGCCTAATTATTTTGAAGCTAATCGAAAAGCTACCCTGCTACTGGATATAATTTATCCCTCTCAAGATAGCCATATATCGGAAACATTCGCTTATATCGAAAAGGGTATTCACAGTAGGGAATATCGAAGTGCGTTAATATTTACTTTTTGTTTTTCCGATACTAACATTCATGGGAAATTCGTAACTTTTTCAGTAGTTTCTTATGAAAACAAAACACGAATTATTGGGTTCTATTCATGTGGGTACCTATATAAATCATGAACTTTTTTTGCTGTGTTGTCGAACGTTACAGTTTTTACGTTAAAGCAAAATTACATCATTCGATTAGGTATCGGAAAAATCCTAAGACATTTTCCTTAATGGAGTAGGTTTTCAAGTTTAACAACAGTAAAAATTAACATAAATAGAAAGAAAAACAGAAACGGCGTTTTGGCACTTGACAATGTGGCGGCCCTAACCGCCATTACCCGAAAATCAATAGATTTTTTTACTTTTAAACCAGTCTAAACGAATGGTTTTTTTAAGAAGTTCAACATAGTAATCAAATTTTAGTTTTATAAATTTGTTTAATTGCAAGTATGTAATAAATTACTAGAGCACTCTAAATAGCTCAAAACCCGACGACAAACACCAAAACTAAACGTTTGAAGTACTTTTTAGTAACAAGGTTACTCTAAAAATTTTTTGCTGTGTTGTTGAACGTTACAGTTTTTACGTTAAAGCAAAATTACATCATTTGATTAGGTATTGGAAAAATCCTAAGACATTTTCCTGAATGGAGTAGCTAACTCAATTTAGCGAAACCTAATTCTTATGTCAAAAACTAGGTACTAATGTGGAAAAATTTAACTCACTCAATAGTTCTCACTAAAATAAATATTTTATCGAGTCTTTACCTCATATGAATTTCCTGTTCCAAAGTAGATCGGGACGAAAGCAAGCCAAATAACGCAGGTGGTGTACATCGTGAATCCTATGAATTTTGATTCGTTGAAATTTTCCGGAATTTTTCTAGTCTTGACTGCATAGACGGTGCATATGGTAATAAGAAGCATGTTGTAAAGTTGAGAAAACAAAAAGGACATGTCCTGAATCTTGCATTTCAATATGATCTGGAACAGAATAAACACATTTTCGAACTGCAGAACTGCATGTCACTCTCTTTCGTTTCATATTTTTTTGTTAAACAGACGATGGTGACTTCATTATTTTGCATGGAATTCCAGGAGAACAAAACGCCTCGGATGTTGAATTCACACGAGTATTTCGGTATTACCGGAAGAATTTCAAAGGCAAATATGTACAGACAATCGCAGTTACGAGATTCATATTTTTAATTAAAGTTATTACCGACAACTTCAAACATATGATTTCGGAAACTGACCTGGTTTGTGCGTTGACAAATCAATTTTATTTTATTCCTTAGTTTTTCATCAAAATTTCCTTAGATTTGACAAGGAATTTTTATTGCGAAAACAATTCATGTGGCACAAAAAGAGGAAGACCTATTTTTTGGTGATTCATCAGTATTTAAAGAAATTTTCGAAATGAAAGTAACCTTTAAACAACTAAAATTCATTTGACGTAAAAATTAAATTGTATTACATTTTTTTTCAATAGAGCTTGACCAAAGGGTAAGATGTTAAAAGGTGTCCTTAGATCTTTCGGAAATCGACAGCGTTTTTGCGAAAGTTATATTTAGTTACAAATGGTTGAATGGATTTTCAAAGAAAATTAATGTTGCCAAAACAACAGCAACAAAAATTCGCAATAATTTGATAAAAAAGTACATGTGTACAATTACACAAGTAAAATTAAGAAATTCTATCTTTAAAAGGTACAAATTGCCATTAGGTTGTCGGAAATTATATCCGTAAACAACTATTTCCTGTAAAATTGGAAGAAAACTGAACTTGAAATTGTTTTCACTAAATGGACTAAATCAGCAACTACACGTGTATAAAATTTCAAACACGAAATGAGCTTATTTTGTTAGAAATAGCTAATGGTCCAATGAAACGATACACCCTGTAGCTATTATTTAGACAACATTAATTTGTCGTAACTTTAGAAACGCCAGCAAGGTCGCCGAAATCAAATTTGTAATTTCAAGATTGCCTCTTCTTAAGTTCTAATTGTAAACGAACTAAAATCAGCAGCAATTATAATTTATATCGATTTTATTAAGTAACCAATTCAAAGGAAATTAAGGTCTCTGATTTTCATTGATTAACGTTAAACAACGACGAGAAAATCAAAATTTTCAAATGAAAACCTTATAAAAAGAAACCTGTTTTCGACTTAGGCGTTTAGGTAGTATTTAGTTAAAGGAATTTGAAAAATTGCTATAAACTCTAAACTGACGATTCTCAAAGTTCAAAAGCAAGTATTTCTTTAATTAAATCGAAATTATATTTCATTTTAATAAGTATGTATCTAATTTACGGAAGCATTTGCAGTTTGAAGAGCAAATATGTATCACATGAGAGGTTTGTCGTTGAATTATCCTAAACAAATTATTGCGGTGTATACGCATTATGTGAAAGCGCAGGACAGTGGTATATCGTGTAGGACTAACCCATTATCCCTTAATTATTATCCAATTTGCTACCTTCCGGTAATAGTCTCGATATAGTCGCAACCAGGTTAAGTATCTTTTGTATTGTTGGGGAACGGCAATATTCCAATTAATTCTGCGAATATTATCAAAGAAAACAAAGGATGTTATGCAATTTAAGAGCACTCACGTAGGGTTAGTCGCACACGATTTATTTTATCAAAGGCGGTTGGTCAAAGTCAGAGTGGAAGTGGAAAGCTTTAGATAATTAGGTACTCTCATCTCGTACAAATAACTTCAGACCAAATTGGAAAATCAGATAAATATAAGTTACCCAGGTTTTCAAGTTTAACAACAGTAAGAATTAACTTAAATATAAAGAAAAACAGAAACGGCGTTTTGGCACTCGAGAATGTGGCGGCCTTAACCGCCATTACCCGAAAATCAATAGATTTTTTTACTTTTAAACCAGTCTGAACGAATGTTTTTTTTAAGAAGTTCAACATTGTAATCAAATTTTAGTTTTATAAATTTGTTTAATTGTAAGTATGTTATAAATTACTAGAGCACTCTAAATAGCTCAAAACCCGACGACAAACACCAAAACTAAACGTTTGAAGTACTTTTTAGTAACAAGGTTACTCTAAAAATTAAGGCAAGTTAGATATTTAAATACTGTATGATGTTACATGACTCGAAGTTTAACTGGGGACCTTGCAACACTATAATAAAGCAAATTTGATTAAACTAATTGCGGATATTTGGGGATAGGACCTTTGAATTTGTTAAGAGATCGATCGATTTTTATAAAAAAGCACACTTTCAAACTAACAAGCAAGTAATGATTACTAATTCCCCTAAATAACTAAAGATTGCCGGTAAGAATATGATGAACAACACTGGATTTTTCAACATAACTTAAATGTTCTATAACCTAACGTGAATTGCGCGCCTAGTTTGTCCAACAGATCCAACAAGTTAAACTACTTTTAGACCAAACCGATTAAATGTTCTTTCGGGTTTCGCTAATTATATCCAGTCATTTAAACTTCAAAAAAGTTGGTACGTTCGTGTATGTAGTAGTTTTTTCTTCCAAATTACCTTCTTTACATTGATGGTAAAAACTTTACCACACGTCAATAACGACTATTATTAATGAGTTTAATGAAGTGTACAAAAGAGTTGTGATGTACGAGCACGTATTAAAAGGTAAAAAGAATTAATACGCGACCGGTTGTAGAAAATATTTTTAAAACTAACTGGTTGAAAGGAGAGAAGTCCTCGACATGACCAAAAACTATCGCGAAGATAAAAATAGACGTAAACCTTCGGGAACGTCGATGAACAAAATCGGTAAGGTCTTCGCAATTGTAGTTACTTTTCATATAAAAGCGTTAATAGAAATATTGAGGCGTCTTCAAAATCGGTCCGATCCAATTTGCTATTCCTTCGGGGACCGTCAAACCCGCATGAACTATTTGTCATTCTCTTTTTGCTGTTCCCTTTAAGATGAATATAAACGAACAAATTTAGGCGTGCGCTGTTCTTTATTTTTTTTTTTTTATAACTCCGCCGTTATATCCACAGCTGCACGTCCTCTAGGGAAATGTTTTATCGTTTAGTTGTTACGACTACAAAGTAGAAAACGTTTTGACTGGAACGATTTAGAAAAAACTTTTTCTTTCTTTTCGTATACGCCCTTGTTATGCCAAATAAACACTCAGAACTTGTCGTCAAAAATACACAACAAAACTAATCATACACGAAGTTACATAAATTTACAAACGTGGAAAAATCATGTAAAAATGGCCAAGTTCTATGAAGAAACGGACTGCCAATTGCATTTTGTTTTCACAAAGCAAGTAGAAGACGTCATCTATATCAGAACTTGGCAATATTTTTATTCAATTGCCAAGTACGAAAAATACTCGCTCTTTTGCCAATTCAAACACTTTTTTTTAATTATGTACGGTCTCTTCAAAATTGACAAGCTTTACTCAAACCAGTGCAAAACTATAATCATCCAAAACAATTGGAAGAATTCTAAAGAAAAAAGTTAAATAAAAATTTCCTACCTGTTTGCGGCTGGGATAGTAGAATTTGGTACCGGGGTATTCGAGGGCCATCCATACCAAGGTGAGTATAATCTGAATAGCAATGAGGCCGGAAGTGATGCAAACTTGGGATCTTGGACTGATGTACTTGGGACGTTTGGCCGATCTGGAGGCCGAATCGAAGATTCTTGAAATCCTGTTTGTTTTTGTGAGCAACGCGCCGTAAATGATGGAGAAACTGACACCAATGCCAAATCTTTGTCCAATGCATATGCCTGCAGCCAAAACCTTTTTTAGACCTAATCTATACATGCGAGGTCTGTTCAAAAAGTATTCCGAATTTTGAATTTCCGAGTGTTACGTGTATTCGACTTTTGAAGGGAGCAAAACAGATATATATGAATAAATAAATAATTTTTGAAAAAAACACAAAATTCGCGATATTTTTTGAACACACTTCGTATATACAAGAGGTAGATATAGTGCTGGCTTAGATTACTGTGTGGAAACAGTTGCTTTATGTAGATTCGGAGAAAAACGAAGATTGAATTCGATGGAATTTGGATATTATTCGAATTATCCAAGCACCTGTGTCGCATATGCTTAAGATCAAAATGATACGGTAGAAGAAGACAACCCTCACGCAGTTGCCACCAACGACAACACTTACTTTGCCCTATCCAGTTATACTTTACAAACTAGCCAAGTATAGGCACATTAACGTATGTAACATATGTCCACTATAACGGTTATGTATTTATTTAAACACTGATTCCGCTTTTTCAAAAGAAAAAAAATTTTTTCGAAACATGATTAATATTTTCAAAACGTCGAAATCTGAAAATCGGCCCTCCCAGTTTTGAAAAATTAATGGTTTTTATAATAACGTAAGGTCAAAAATTATTCTGAAACCTTGGTAATGGGCCAGCATTTTTCATGGTGTCCAGGGAATAGTCCGGACTCATGAGTATTTTTGAATACGTAGCAATTATGAGATGTTCGCGTACTTTCTATTAATTTAGAGGACGATAGAGTTTCCCTGGTGTAGTATAATTAAGTGTAACTAACTAACAATAGAGGGATATGGTTAAATTATTGTGCCGTGGACGGTTATAAACAGGGAGATTTTTTCTTGTTGCAAATGTAAAAACTGTAAAATGCAAGAGCACATCAAGTTCGGCAAATAAAGAAACGAAATTCAGTGAACGTACCGCGCCGAGCGGTTTTAATTACATTCAATTGCTTTGTGGTTGGTACGTACCTGTGGTTGGTTTAGCCAAGAGAACAAACGTATTCATGTAGCAAAGCAGAATGCCAACTAGGAGCATGTAGCTGAGCTCTCTTCCAGAAGCGCGGACTAATGGCGTGTCATTGTGTTTTATAAATAGGCATATAACTGAGAGGGTTGCAATAATTCCGAGGACGGAGAATGCGAGAGGGATCAGGGCAAAAGGTGACGACCAGTTCAAGTACTGAATTTCCAGCGGGTAGCACGATTTCTTGTCAGGATACGGCCAGGATCCGTTGCCGCAATCTTTGCAGGTGAATTCGTCGAAAACGTATTCGAAATCTTCGCATTTATCGCATATCCAGCAGCAAGTATCGCCCTGAAACAACAAAAAAAAAACAACGTTGCCTTTTCGCCCAGTCATAATCCAAACCTAAGGGACTTGGCAATAGCACATCGTCTAATTGATATTTATTTTAGATACGATCACGATCTGCCACAATTCACAACATGATCTACAGTCTGATTCGATTTTGGTGGCCTATTAGACATTTTAGAACGATTTGAAAAAATCCCAAACACATTTAGATTGAGCGACTTATATTCCGGTTAAGTTTAAAATGGTTGCAAATTAAAAAAGTTTAACTTATGTTCCTAGAAAAAGGCTAAGTATTTTTGACTCCATTTCAGCACCCTTCTTACAAGTTTTTTTTTATTATTGTTTAATTTTCACCAGTGAAATGTTTTTTTTCGTTTGAAGCAACCTTTTAGATAAAATTGTAAAACTTTTGATCGATAGGTAAATTTTCGAAAGAAGAATGCACCTGAGTCGAAGAATTAATTAAATGACATCAAAAGTTTGGCGCGATCCCTCATCAACTTTCCAACGAGAGTACGCATTTCTTGCTGCCTTAGAACTTCTTGGAACACCGCGTATATTTCTGAATACTCGTCGATCATCATTATGGAGCGAACGTTGTTGCTATACACATTCACGACCTCATTATCAGGAGCGTACTCAGGACGATTAATAACTATTTGTAAAAAAACAACATCGGCCTAAGTACGGACGTTATATATATGTGCATCAACAAACGACATCCGCCCTCTACTCATTTGCCGTTTGAATGTATCAAAAAAATTAAATTTTCTTTACGAACTGAACAGAATGAACTAATTAAAAGTAAGCAGAGCAAAAGTCAGCAACGATAATAATAAATAATTCGAAGGGTACCGTTGAAATTCTTTTGTGAGCGAATGCTTTCGTCAGTGTTTTTAGTCAATGTTTTAGAAATGAAATCAAATACAGGGAAAAGTCGAAGAAATAAATTTATGGAGTGGAAAAATCCCGGAAAAGACAACCCGACAATTCCATTCTAAGCGATTTGTTTTAAACCACGTAACTGCAAAACCTTTTATGATAATTGTTTTCTTAACCATCGATAGCATATCTACATAATTTCTAGTTGGTATAAAGAGAGAAATTCATTTTATATTACTTATATAAAAAATGGAAAAGTCAAATAGTAAATTTAGTTGTATAAATTAAATTACATTATCAAGAATTTATAAAAGATCTAAAGGGGTTGTTTATCATACGAGTAACACGACAGTTATTAATAGCTTCCAAAAACTAAGCAATTAAATGTTTTAATGTATCATAAAGTTAGTTACCTGTTGCTTCTTGATCATTCCAGGTCCACATGGTAGAGAGCAGGCTGAGATCGGTATATCACTGACATTGTTCTTCCAAATTATTTCGCTGTGATTTAATTCGAGTTTGTTGAACCATTTACCGACAAGCTAAAAGAGAATGTGAGAAAATGCTGAACACAATTTTTCCTTCGAGCCGAACACGAATTTTATCCTTTCCTTAATTGCATTATGACATGCTATGAGATAAAAAAGGGGAAAGATTCACGCGAAAAGCTTCATCTTATCGATACTATTGCGTTCTATCTTATTCACGCATTTCTAAACAACAATTTCATTGAAACATGATCTAACTCCTGAAATTTCAAGGGATGACTAAGTAGTGTTAAAGAAAAATAAATAACAAACATTTACAACTTTACAAATTAGATTAAAATTTAATTTTAAAAAGTTTCAGTTGCAATTTCAAAGGTTTTAACAGAAAACATCAAAGGTCTACTATTACTAACGCTTTGAAAACAAATAGGTACTTATCTCAATTTAGTTTAAGGTACTTTAAATAATAGTTTAATGATAAATGGTTTCACATTACCTATGTTTTGTGTTTTGCGATTTAATATTACTAAAACTAGAATTCTGCTTTCAAGTGAAGTAACTTTCTTTCGTGCTACCCCGAAGACGACTGTAAAAATTGCATTTTTTGTAATTTTACTTGCCAGAAACTTTTCTTTTTTTGTTGGAATTTTTCATTCTTTTCTACTTTTAATTTTGGCAACAGACTACTTCACTCTAATAACAATAAGTCGTCTGAGGGACTATTGGAACTCTTTTCCCTTGCGGACATTTGGGAGATACTTGTTTAGGAAATAAAAAAGTTTTGAGTGTTCCGAGTATTGTGGCATAAATTATTAAAATAAACGTATTGCCATGGAACTTTTATTTTTGCATAGGTGTTGTTACGAAAATGTTAATATGGAGGATGGTTGCCATATTGTAATTTGAGTATTTTGTTATTATTATTTCGTAATTAAATTGGTTGCAAATTAAAAAATTATTAATGACGAATTACAAATAACGAAAACATTAAAATCAACATGCCCAACCTAATATTTATTTTTGTGCAACTTACTTTGTAATGATAGCCTAAACCGTTGTCAGTTTTTTGGAAATTCAAGATGTCATAGCGAGCAAGTCCATCACCTCTTTCGTCGAATTGAACGGGATTTCCGGCAAGATCTAAAAGATTTGAATCAACGTTTCACTTTCATTCAAACCACCGATTTATTGCATTCAACACCATAAAGTTCGACTCCCGATAAAAATTCGATTACCGACACAGTCGATACTGTTAAGAATGTATTAAATTGTTAACGCCCTGTATACCTACATTAAATGTTAATCTTAGTGAAACTTTTCCTGTTTTTCTTATTTTTTAGCATCACAATTATTCTAGTTCTTGTTACTTGTATTGTTTTAAAAATCGACTTTTTCTTATTATTTTCTTCCGCATTGATAACACGAAGAAATTTATTGGATATTTGGTATTTTACGTTTATTTGGTTCTGCTTCATTCAATATGGAGATAAGACATTCCAATTTATAGTAAATTTTCGGAGTAAGAAATGGGGAATTTTTTTTTATCGAAAATACCAATATTTTTATAGCTGTACCTATTTCTGAATTGTGCATTATGTTGATAAAAGAAAAAAATATTTACGTACTAACCTATGCATAATAAAAAGAAAAGATGTTTCTTATACATAATAAAATTTTCCTTTTTCACATACATTATAATCTAATTGGATACTCCGATAATGAAGGCTATCAATTTTATTTGCACCTTCCTTTGTTTAAAGTCAATAACTTTTTAAAATGTTCGAAACATGAAAAGAGTTAAGATGAATTCATCTGTATTACAAAAGTACTGACATCTTTCTTTTAATGTTCTTTTCTTCTTTATGGTACAATACATTTTTTTGTAATGCAGCCTTCAGAATGTTTGAAACGAAGAACGATAAGAAATTGTTGCGAAGCTGCAGAAAAATTTTAAATGTGCATTCGAAACTAAAAGCAGAAATTCTGCGAATCTATGAAAAGTACAGGACTGAACTAATGAAAATTCCACGAATCCAACACTTTTCTATTGACAATTTTTATCGCGATGTCTTTAAAGAGTGTCGGAGAACGACAATTAGAAATTCTCATTTCGTTACTACTAACTCTCTTTTGTTATAACTTTTATTACGAAGTTTCAGTTGACACTTTCTACCTTGAAGAAATACAATTCTTCGCAATATAAGATCTCATCTTAAAAAAGTGTATCCTGCTTATAAGATATAGAAACTGCTTATTGAAAATTCCTTTAATATTTCCTAATGTTAGAATGTCCTTTCGGAACTACAAAATGTTCTAAAGTAACCTGCATGCAGAAAAATCTGGATATACATATATACTTATATGTATATAGTATTGTATCATGTCTCCACCTATTTTTTATTTTTATTGCACCGAAAACAGTAATGTGTCGATTTTTTTAAATGTTATTTTTCTTGCCAAATACTATATAGCGTTTCTATAACGACATTAGAGACTAATTTTAGTTTTAATTGCCATTTTTTTTTCATGTTAAGTTACGAACAAACAGAATAGTTCAAAACCCCAACGCCAAAACACGACACTGTAGTTGTCCGAAGCACTTTTCGGTAACAAAGTTACTTTCTTCAGGGACTGAAGTAAACTCAACCCTTAATAACAAAATGAACGCACCGTGCAGATAAACGTGTAACCGTTTTAATACAGCCTCTCATTTTTTGTTATCTTCGACATTTTACCGTTCTTTCATGCGATAAAACATACAGAATTGATTTGGTTGAGTTTACTTCAGTCCCTGAAGAAGGTAACTTTGTTACCGAAAAGTGCTTCGGACAACTACAGTGTCGTGTTTTGGCGTTGGGGTTTTGAACTATTCTGTTTGTTCTACAACAACCGCCAAAGTTTTTCCAATCTTCATATTGAGAAACTAAATTTTTTTGTTACGAAGTTGAAATCAAGGCATATTCACTGCCAAAAGTCAGTTAAAAATTTTCCATATTATTCGTTATTTCTTATTTTATTCAAAGTTTTTGGTAAAATTCCAAATTTTCTCTCAAACCATATACTTTTTTTT